CAGTGACTGGGATAAACCCCACCAATAATTCCCCAATTTACCTTAATGTGTCGTCGCAACCTCTAATGACGTATTCATTTGACTGATTGGTTCTGTGGCAGTTGTAATTACCACGTCTTCAGCCAGGGGCTTTGTATTTCACACAGGCGAGGGACAGACTTTGTCTCAATTAGTTTCCTGTTTTATCTCCTCTCCCTTTCTCTACACCTCACACCTCAGTGGCGCTGACAAGGATGTTTGTACCTGCTATACACAGCGGCACTATCAGTTCAATCCTTGGCGTGACTTTGAAGATTAGTCACCGAACCGTGAAGAAGCTTTTGAAGTGTTGGGGATTCTTTGAAGTTTGCGATGCAAGGCTTTTTTTTTTTCTTTGTCAATGTGTTACACAAAGTTTCTGCTACCTTTGAACATTTAGCCTGGCAATGAGAGGAGGGAGCAGGCACAAACAGGCATAAACATAACATGATGGAGATTTGTATCATCAAAGTCCATCTGAGGGGTGTTTCAAACCGATGTCTCCAGCATCCTTCGGGTCGCTCCACGCTGAACTGTCGATGCTGTTTTCTGTGATTAACATCTTCTTCTTTGGGAGTTCACAGGAAAGAAAACTATGGATACTTTCCCATTTTACATTTGCACATATTGTAGTTTTTAAGTTGCCCAACAAGTGCTTTGAAAAACTCCAATTGTGTAACTCACCCCTTGCTCTACTCTGAAATGTTTATTCCCATCATGTGGGGAGCGATGAATGACTAGAATAAACTTCTCATCCATTCTGCACTTGGCAGGCAAAATGATTATGAATAAAAATGAAATTGACATTGGAAACAGCAAAGCAGGAAAAACCTGCTCATTGAAGCCTGATGGCCACATAAAGAGAGAGCCGTGGCCAAATTTTCTTGGCCAACTCTGCGTGTGTAGGCTGACTTTCCCTGGCTGCTTACCTCAATATGAAATTAATGAATTTCCGGTGACTTGATTGATTGTGTTGCTAGAGGTGTGAGCGCGTGGTCAGGGCAGCTGCTCTTCACAGCAGACGTGGCGCTGCACCACCAGCAGAAATATGTACACAAACCGGAGGAGGGTGATGAGTGAGTATCTTCTTGTGAAAACACTTTCGGCGGCAGGCGGTGCTACAGGCAAGGGCAGCTGCTGCTGAACGAGGCCTCTGCTGACACATAGGTCATGGCAAGGCTACAGATGGCCGACTGGCCCCTCTGTGCTGCACCACCAGAGAAGAGGCAGTGCCAAATGTGTCGTCCCTATAACCTCATGGAAATTGACTCAAAAAAACAAACACTTGATTCACAGTCCACGATATGAGTAAATTGTATAAAGTTTGAAAAAATGTGCTTATTTTGATGACACTATCCAGATAATATTCCCGCTCTTCTGCATAATAATTCCATAAACGAAGCCTGTGAATTTTAAGGTCATTTAAATTCCACTGAGCTGTTGCCAAGCCTTTGAAGCCAAAAAATTGCCTGTCATCCTCTTACAATACAGGCTATTGAGCACAGCGCAGCTCACAGGGGCGCCCATAAATAAGAAATATCCTTCTGCACACTGTTAATTGTGTGAGCTGAGAACAAGATTAAATGCAATGTCCCCTACTCTGGCAAAATACACTGCTGTTTGGCCACATGACTGTTTCAGACACTGACGCCTGGGCTACAGTTTGTGGTTTCAGCACAGTCAAACACTTTTTAAAGTGTAGATTAATGCTCTTAATGAAGAGCTGGGGCTTTGTTTTACCTCTCCTGCAGAGTCGATGTTAACAAATGCTAATTTGCCCCCATTAAAAATTTGTCCCAGCTGCAGCTGCAACTCGGAGCGCTAATGATGACACATCCAGATTTAATGAGGAGAGCAGAACGGTCAACGGCCAAATACATTAGACCCACCAAATCAAAGCATATCTCTACAATATTTTAGCATATTTACACACTTTGGTTGCAGTTATGTCATTTTACAGTTTTTTTGTAAGTTTAGCCATATGGATTATAACCTAGTTTACTGATCATGTTTGGTGATGATGTAATGCAGTAGATAGGATATTCATTTGCAGAATAAGCAAAGTAAGCAAGAGGCAACAAATGATAATCATAACAGCAGTGTCCCACCTGTCTAACTGAGACTCCTAACATTAACATTTCATGAATGCTTGTGTGGTGTTTTTGCAGTATGCATGAGTAACTGTCTTGACCACAGAAAGATGGTACAATCTGTTGTGTTTGCCATCATTTCAATATATTTTTTTATTATTGAAAGAGGTTACATTCAACAATGTTGGATTAACGATGGATCACATGACTACTTGTGCATAGAGAAGGGTCTCCCTCAGCTGTATAAAACAAGTGGACATCGCCATCATGACTTCATACTATTGGTTTGTGGAGTACCGTTTTAAAGCATCGAGATTGCCGTTTTGGCCTTCACCATTTTGGTTTTTGGGAGCCATACATGACCATAGTTGGATGGGAGTGTGAAGCTGAGGCGGAGCACTCATAAGTCCCTTTCACACTGCCTGTTCAAGGTGGGAATATCCCCCCGTTATGCCACCTCGCTGTTCTGTATATAAGGTACGATTGGGGAATGGTTCAACAGTCTCTCCTTTAAGCCACCATGGGAGGTAGTAACGGTGCCCAAGCGGTGTGTGTATAAACAGGACAGCTGGCAGGAAGGGTGTGACATTTTGAATGATATGTTATGCGTGTAACCCACTGTGAGAGATTTATAAAGTAGCTGATAGCAGTTAGCAGCTAACTCAAAGAAGAACAACAGTGGCCGAAACTGAGAAAAATATTAGATTCGGGAGCTACTTAACCCTTCGAGCAGAGAACGAGAATAGCTGCCATATAAAAGAGAAAGTAAATGATTGTTATTACCATGTTAATGCCATTTTTATTTTTTAAAAAGCGCTGCCAACACATATGTTATACGTCATGTAAGTGGTCGACACTGTTGTGGTAAACGTCAAGTAGGGCTGGGCAATAAAACGACTATGTATGGTATATCGATATATTTTCAAGCAAGATATACGTTAAGACAACATAGTTTACTTCGACACAGGGTCAAGTTGCATAATGCATGCCAGTGTGCATCTCTCCTCTCACACTTTCTGCATATCTGCACACTTTCTGCAACACCAAGAGAGACACAGAGCTGCTTCTCTGTTTAATCTGTCTATTAATTAGTCTACAGTGCAACATCGGTTTATACGTTGCATGTGCTACGCTAAATCAGTCTGTGAGATGAATGAAATTACCGCAGTAGCACACATACAATCCAGCACTGCGCTGCATGTGTCGGAGACAGAGCTGCTTGATTGTGTCAGGTGAGTTTGTTTGCTAGTTTGATTCATGTGAAAGGTCATGGAAAACGACCTTTTAACTCCCCTACAAAGATTTTTACTTGTCTCAAACTACAATGGATTTCGGCCTACTTGATACTTTTATAATCAAGTTAGAGTTTTGTATCCTGTGCTGCAAACCTTTAAACCTCTGTACATCCAGTGCTGTGCGCAAAAACATTAATGTACAGCCCTGCTATTTATTTGATATCATTTTTCATTTACATGATAAAATCCCTGTCTTTGCATTTTATGTTAATCACAGTTTGTTTTTATAAAAGTGCTTGTAACATATCTAATATGGCTTTGACTTGCAACTAAAAACATGTAGCTCATTCTGTGGAAAATCCCGAGATATATATCGCCATTCTGCCTTCAAGTACTGAGATATGAATTTTGTACATACTGCCCAGCCCTTACGTCACGCCTTTTTTGGCGTTGTGATGCTGGCATGCTATTTATAATCACACACTGGAGCAGAATGATGCCACTGTTCTTTCGTTCTGTGTAAAAATTAAAATGAGGCATAAAGAAGGGACTTAGTAGTGGCCCTAAAGTGATCTCTGTTTAAAAAGGACTACAGACTGTGGTGACACCTCGCAGACAGCGACACCCTTATTTAAGTGCAATTTTAAACCTTAATAAGATTCAAATGGGCGAGTTATATAAAAATTCCACAACATAAACTCAACTTTTCTTAGAAGCCTCTTTTCTACTGGACAGAAAACTCAGTAACACCCACAAACATCTGATTTTTGCCCTTAGTAGAAAAGGTTACAATCGACATTCACTTCAGGACAAATGACTCTGCAGTCATCATGGGTATTTATCGACTCCAGCTCGGAACTGCTGTGATGGAAATATGACACGTGGGTGAATACTCTAATTTTAGCCTCTTTTGCAGTGATACAGTGACGGGCTGCCACAAAATGCCAGTTGTCTCCTTCCAAGCAGTCAAACATCTGAGTAACTAGCAAATATGAAAAGTTGGTAACAACTGTGACATTTTCATTAGCCTTCATGCACTTTATACCATTTACTAACCTGTTTCATGGCCTGTCCATGACACCAAGTCTCAACACACCAGAAAAAGAATGCCTGTAATGGGAAAACAGCCT